AGTTACCTGAAAGAGTGGCTTCTTAGTAGCTTCTCCCCATGTGTTTTACCAGCAGATGCTGGTGCTTTTGTTTAAGACAGTGAAATGTGGCCTTTAGGTTTAGTAAATATCCAGATCTCTCTGTACTTCAGGAAGAGATACTTGAATTGTGTTGTTTGATTTACTTGCTGTTTGCAGTGCAGGTCTATGCAGTTGCAGCCATTGTTCTTTTCTTCCTTTTTGCTGTATTAAAAACCAGTTGCTGACTACATCTGAAATAGTTGGTGTCAAATGTCAGATAAGGGATTTTATATATATGTGCATACATGCATTCGCATTTAATAGAGACCGGCTGGAAGATTTAGAAAGGACTGTGCACTTCAGATGTGTCTCCTGGTGTTCTTTTAGGATCTCACTAAGTGGTTGATGTCCTATTAAATGGCAGATGCTGGTGTTGTGTGTGCCCAATTCTGTGCTGCTGTGACTTCACCTTTTATGTCAAATGTTAGCTCTGAACAGAGGGAGCTATCTGGTTTTGTTATGTATAAGGCAATAATTCTCTACTCTGAGTGCTATATAGGCTTTGAGGGAAAGCTTTCAAATATGTACATATTACTGTGTTTGTGCCTCTCTTTTTAGGTGGAAACTTGTGCATAAGTTGTGTAGTCTATTGGGAATTTTGAACTACACATGAAAGGAAGTTACAGTTGAGTGTTTGAAAAGATTATTAGGCTTATGAAAACAGCAGATTTTATTATTGTAACTTGAAGCACTTTGATAAATCTACTTTTTACTTAAAATTCAGGATTTGTCTGTTTAGTTGAAAATGTTYTGCTGTACTCTCTAGGGTCCAGCTCAGTGGTTCAGGTACAGCAAGGGATTCTTGCTAAGGTGTTTGGGATGCTAAAGGTGCTATGTAATATAATAGCTTTTTCTGATATAAATAATGAAAGCTTTTTTAAAAATTAAACCAATGCAGAGATTATAATCAGTCAACGTGTTTCATAACTAGGCTGCTGTCATTCTGATCTGCTGTTAAGGGCTGTAATAGATCCTGGGACTGAAACTTAAATATCTGTGTGCATGTGTATCTGCTGTCTCTGATGTGAAGGCAGTTCTGTCATGAAGAAGTTACACAGTTGTTATGTGGGGTGTGCAACCCAGGATGGACAATGGTTTGGGTTTGGGTTTTATTTTTTTAGCTAAGCTTACATAAATTCGTGTTCATGTCCCAAACTCTCTTGACTAGTATTGATGAAGTACAGATATCAATCCACTGTCAATTCTAGTTTTGTTTTTGAACAAAGTATGAAAGTTTAGGTTACTTTTGCTATAAGTTTTCAAAACTGCCTCCTCATCACTAAGTTATGGTAGCTGGTCACATGATCAAAAAACTTGTCACTGGTTTGAGCAGATTTTTTCATTTTATCCTTAGTAGTGAGCTAAATGAACCCGTTTTATTTTGTACGGATGTGGAAAAGAAGCAGTCTTAGAATCAGCCATAGTGTCTTACTGTGTTGTTTTAAGCTGCTACCCCTCTGTTCTAGTATATATGAAATTATGTCCATATTTCTGTTTGTTGCAGAAATATTTTCTTTATTAGGCATTGATCAAAACAAGAAACTGCATATCATACTTATGAAAGAAATAGGGTTCATTTTGAGACCTTTAGGGCATGTTTTAAATTTATTGCAGGTTGCAATGAATTATTTGGGATGGAGTTTATGTTCTACAGGTTACTTGAGAGAGTGTCAGTCTAAAATAGCTGATATATGAACAAGATGTGCAAGCAAATTTTCTCCAAGACAGGACRGTGACATCCTTGCAAATGATGCACCATTTATAGAAGTCAGTTAGGACTAATGGGGGCTATTAGCTTGTGCTTGATGCTGGAGAAATGTAATTATGCTGATTCCAGAGAGGGTACAGATCTGTATCAGTAACACCTCTGTCTGAGATAGTAATTCCTCTTCAAAAGTGAGACAACAGTGTGAGATCATCTCTGGTGTAGCATTTAAAGTTCTTTATTTGTCTCTGTCATTAGAAGAAAATGCCCTGGAATGAACATTTCCTCTAACGGGAAGGGTTTTGGCAATTCCTTCTTGCTGTTAAAAAATGAATTTTCTGGATGAAAGTGAGAAAAAACCTTATTTAGCAAACAAGGTGCCTGCAGGTCATGAGAAAAAATAGGTAACTGTTAGGTATTGAACATTCAGAATCTTATTCTCACACACACACCCACTCAGGACAGAACAAATCAACTCAAAATGCCCGGGGAAGGGAAACAATGTTTGGTGAGAAGGAACAAAATGGCAGACAGGCCTTTGTCTAGGGGAAGGAGAGGAARGTCCATGGAGGAGCTTGGGGGGAAAATCAGATGGGAATCTGGTGAATTTCTGAGGTTGGTTTCCTCCTCGCAGCAGGAAAAACTGGTGGATTTAGAGTCCTTTCTTTCATTGGTTCAGTTTCTCCTGAGGTCTGGGCTGAGATGAGGTGTCCCTGTAGCTTTCCCACTGGTCCCCACTGACTGGCTCTTGCCGATGGTCTGATTTGGACCAAAAGCCAAGCCAAACAGTCCAAGAAAAAACAACAGAAGCCGCTGAGGAACTCCTACTGCAGTCCTGGGAAAAACTTCTTGCCTAAGCTAACAAAAACCAAGCTAGCTAAGAGCAACAATGTAGCCTCCAATCTGCATGTCAAGCCAAGCACAGGGGACAGTGAGAGTTCCAACAAAGCCCACAAGAGTTCCCCGGCTCCTGCTGCTCCTGCTGCCGCGCCTTAAACCTACTTGACCCATTTCTGGGCATAAAGCAGACGATCAGGAATAGAGTATCATCATAAAATCACCTCAAGTGATTTCTAGATTTTCTCCCTTTTTCTTCCTGCTACCCTATCTGAGCTCTGTGTAATGGAATTTTTTACCTTTTTATTTCTACTCCTGTTTGGCCAAACCTCTGAAAATTTTCTGTGTGATTTAGTACTTAGATTTTCAAAATAATAATGAGAAAAGTACTTCAGAAGCAGGATTTACAATGGAATAGAAGTGAGTTTTCAATGAATTTTTTGTGCCTAGTATTATGATTTTATTTGATATTTATTAGATGTGAACATTAATATCTCTTTATGGGGTGAACCAAACATTAGATTTTGGTTGAAAATTGAGAGAAGAAAATTTTGAAGCCTTTTTTTAATTAAAATGTAAAAAGCTTTTAGTATTAAATATTTTTCTTGTTATTAATATGTCATTGTTACCCAGCTGCGCCAGAAAATCCTGTCAAATCTGCTTCCTGGCATAGAACTGAACTGTGCTAATTGCCAAGAGTTACCTTCATATGGGATTTTATTTTTATTTTTTTTTCTTTAGCCATCTGGTAAAATTCCAATTTTACCTGTAGAATTTTGAAGCTTGTGCTGTACTATACAATGTGAATATATACATTGTTTTCCATCACTTTTTGTTTGATCTCAACTACTTTTTATCAGATAAGAGTTCCTGCCTTATAAAAAGAGCATATATTTAGAAATTAGTAAATACTGCACACAAAATAAACATTATTGCATTAGATTAAATATTTGTTCAGTTGAAGCATTGAGATGTAATTTCTTGGTGTTGATAATTAAAATTGAATTGATTTAATTGTCAGTAAAATTAAATTTGATATGAGGTGGGTAGTCCTGATCATCATGATTGTTGTTGACATTCTTTTTGTTTGTTTATTGGGATTCTTTTTTTTTYCGTTGGTTTGGTCTGGATTTTTTGTTAGTTTTTGTTTTGGCAATCTCCGTGCATTGGTGCTATCTTTTGGACTCTGAAATTATTGTATCTTCAGGAACTTTCRTTTTTGCTATTGCTTGATAATTTTTTCTTTCTCCAGCTTATGAATACTGGGTGTTTTTAATCATGCGTGTGCTTTTTCCTCCCCTTCAAATGATAAGCAAAGTAGATTTCCATCAGACTTCAATCAAGAAAGTACTTGTAAATCTCAAGAATATTGTTGTTATTCTTAGTATATGATAAAATGGATTAAAACCCCTACATTTACTTTAATTTCTTTCATAATGTTAATATGTAATAGCAGTGGATTAGGCTACTTTGCTTATTCCATACCTTTCAGCTCAATTAATTTTTTTTCCTCTTCTTAATGAAGAACTGACTCCAAACTAATACTAAGCAAATTAGAACACTGGTTTGAAATTTTGAATGAAATGTCATTCATATTAAATGGTGTTGTTATATAGTAGAAGTTTAAGATTGCCCCCCCCCCCCCTCATTATGGGTAATTTTCTTGCTATGATTTTGTCGATGGCTTAGATTTTTTTCTTTCTTTCTGTTAGTGTCTGCATTCAGATGCAGTTATAGCATAGGCCCATTTGTGGGTTATATTTGCTTATCAGTAGCTGTAACAAATCTTGGGTACTTGTTTTTTGGGGTTTTTTTGGGGGGGGGTTGTTTGTTGGGGTTTTTTTAATGTGTGCAATTAGATTTCAAAAAAGGAAAACTTTTTCAGTGGCTACCTTGCAGCCTTTGGTATTCTGTTTTTTTTCTCAATTAAATTGTTTTAATGATATTTACAAAAGTGAAAATTCAAAAGTTCCTATAATTACTGCTTCAGTGTTGTTTAGATTTCTCTTGTCCTCTTTTCTTTTAATTTTTCTCAAATACTGTATGTACTAAAGGTGTTTGTGCAAGTTGCATGTGTTGAGATTGTCTTTAAGGAGAAAAATATCTCTGAGTAGTGAGGAAAGCAGAACATTTTTTTGCCTTATATAAGTATTTTGCAGTTCTGTAAGAGGACAAAATAYATCAAAGAGTTTTAATATTTTCTAGTAAAAAGGTGTAGAATCTTGATTGATTACCTATATTTTTCTTAAATACATGGTATTTCCTATTTCATAGACATCTGTTTATTCTGTGAGCATGGTGCAATAGGTGCTTTAAAAAATGTAGTGGAAAAGTAGATATGTTGGGAAAGCAGCTAGACTTAATTTTACCTGGGTAAATCTTTACTTTTTTGAAACAGGCGATCAGCAAAATCTCGAAGCAGAAGTCCATTTTCATCAAGGCACTCCAGGTCTCGTAGCAGACACAGATTGTCTAGATCCAGAAGTCGTCATTCAAGTATTTCTCCTAGTACATTGACTCTGAAGAGTAGCCTGGCTGCTGAGCTGAATAAAAACAAAAAAGCAAGAGCTGCTGAGGCAGCCAAAGCTAGTGCAAAAGCTTCCAATACTTCAACACCAACCAAAGGAAACACTGACACTGCTGTAAGTGCACTTCAAGTGAACAATGTTAAGGACTTGAAGAAAATCAAAACTGAGCATACACCTTCCCCTACCAGTGGTGCAAATTTGAAAAATGACAAGGCCAAAGCCAAGGTCTTGCTTCCTGAAACAAAAGCAGAAAATAATTTAATTGCAGACAAAATCACTAAACAGAAGCCTGCAGCAGTAAAAGAGAATAAATTGACTGTTATGAAACAGCCACCAGTCACTGTAAAAGAGAAAAGCAAACCAAGTACACCAAGTGTAGTAGCCAAGGAGAAGGATCGAATTGTTGCACTACCGACCTCCACACTGCCACCCTTGCCTTTGCCTCCCACGCTGCCTGAAGATAAAGAAACTGATAGGTGAGTTGTGACAGAGATTTGCTTTTGGGGTTGTTTATTTTTGTTATCGTTGTTGTTATTTCCTTTGGAAAATAAATATAAAACTAGATCAGGCTAATGCACTATTTAATTTGCTGTGGCTCTTCACTTACTTAACTGGTGAACTAGAGGAATTTAATCTTTAAAATAATTGAATTAGTTCTTGAAAAGAGAAGAATTTGATCTAAGAGGGATCTTACAATAAACAGTCTACTGAAGAAATGTTTTAAAAATTGCTGGTACAGAAAAGCTTTGGGACTGATGAAAGGATGCATTCAAGGACTCAAGTTTAATGTGAACATAAACATACTTCTGGAGAAAAGTTGAATACAGTAGCAATATGTGAAATTTCTTTATTTAGCTGGGGTTTGAAGTAAAGATTCTCTTCCCCTTGAAAGGCAATTGCTTTAAAGCATATGCCTTATTTTGGGGTAATTTATCTCAAAGTTCAGTATTATTTTGAGTGTATATATAATGGAAGTGAGGTTCATGGCTTGTCATTTTTGTTAACTTTGAAGTGTAAAAATTGGCCTGTAGTGAAAAAATTAATTTCTGCCTTCCAAGTGTCATCTGAATTTAGACTATGTTAAGTCTCTTCATAGTCCTGACGGAGAGGATGTGTGGTATTGGAAAATTATGCTGTTAGAGAGGTTAAATTTTGTTTTACTGAAGGTATTACATGCCTCTCACATGCTTGCGAGAAATTGCCTCACAAGTAAGCCAGAATTTTTTAGCTAGAGGTGTAAATGTTTCTSTTGTGTTTGCTAGTAATTTAAGTTTATATTAGACTTTAAGAGTACGTAGGAGGCCTTGGGAATAAACACAACCTAACATAGTATTAAACAGTTATAATTTTTTTTAAGTAGTATAAAAGAAATAGTTTTTTGCCCTTTAGCATTAAACTCTAGCAAATGTAATAGTGGTGTAGCAGAYGTATGATTACATTTACATTTGCAACAAAGCCATCCTCTAGGTAAACGAGATTGCTGATAATGTGAGCAAGATTTACTGTTTCAACTAAAAACTAGGCTAACTAGTTTAACTAAATATGAGTGGCATTGCAATATTAATTGTAATAATAAGAAGTGAGATTTCACATTGAAGCTGGCTAATTGCTTCTGATTATTATTGGTGTATTTTAATGGATTGCCTGTTTTAAGTTTAGCTAAACTGAGGGGTTAAGCTGCAATTGATATGGTTCTTTCAGCACTGGGCTCAAAGCTTAGTGCTTGCAAACAGCTGCGTTAGAAAGATTAACAAGAAGTAATAAAAGGCCTTTTATGCTTTACTTAGTTTTGCCTATAGTATGTTACAAATTTCTGATCAGAAATTACACATCATGATAAAGCTTAAGTCATCAAAGAAAAAATGATCAATGTTTTTAAGGGTGGAGGAGGGTAAAGATATTTACCTTGGGCTCAGAATTACTATGGGGAAATTTTGTCAACAAAAAGTTTGATGCTATGCAGAACTGGTTCCTAATGTCATATTGGGTGTGAACTTCAGTAAGTCTCACAACCCACCAATAAGCGACCTAAAGGAGCATCAGTTTTGCAGCACCACAGTGTAGGTTTGCGGAAAGGAAAAATTGCCCTGATTGTTGATGATTGTGATTTAGCAGACCTGAAAAGAAAGGCTGCTCTTGTCTGCCTCTATTTTTCATGTGCCACTTAAAATCTGTTTCAGAAGCTTTTTCATTTGTTAYAGTTTCACTTATATTGAAAGTTTTGGAGGAAAATTGTGAGAGAAATACTAATATATTAACTTCAAAAGTAAAGAGCATGTTATCATGGCAATAACATGCACTGCACTAAGGTGGTTTATTCTTTATAGCATGTTAACCATTATATTTGTGATGAGGGCACAATGCTTCCTTGTGATGCTTCTTTAAAATGGGGCAGTGGTGCTTTGGAAAGTGGTAAAAGACATAAAAATGTCCAATTTTCACGGGGAAGCATAGACAGATGCAAAACACTGGAATGCTTTATTTGTATATATAAGGATTGCTAATTGCAAGTAGAGTAAGAAAAAATGTATGCATTTTCCATGTTGGGAGTTGGCAATATCTTTCTATTTACAGTAGTTCCTGCTTTATCTACTTTAAAATAAGCAGATAAGAAGTTGTAGAAGGACTTCACGGAGTAGGATGAATGGTGCAATTTGACAAATGCAGCTAACCTGGAAAATGTCCCCTCAAAGCATTACTTAAGTTTTATTGATACAGTGACAGAAATTAGAAGAGTGAATACTACATGAGAATTCTGTAGGGGATAAACAATTACGTAGTTATATAAAGATTAGAGATTGTTGTCGCTTTAAAATTACTGGATATGCAGTAGCTGAACAAATCTAGCTACACTAAAAGAAGTTCTAACAAAATAGAACTGTATGTTTAAGAAAAATAATCCTGCAGCAGTTATGATTCCCAATTAGAACTAAGGTCATTGTGTATAATAATTGCTAGAGGAATACATTGCTGTGTGTGTATTTGGGGAGTTTTCTCAAGACAGAGATGAACAGTTAGTATTATCTAATTAAGGCTGGTTAAAAATTGGTCAGATATCAGTAACCCATGTAAGAAGAACATTGTCATTTTTTCATGTGATTTTTTTCCCACTTGATATGCATTCTAATCACTAGAAATGTGTTGAATCTGGAGTGTTTGAGCAGATGTRTGCGATTAGAATTTGTAAATGAGGTGAGGTGGACAGCCTGGTACTGCCTTGCATTGTTAGTATGAGCATAAAGCTTATTATCTATGGAGATCAATTTTGGAGAGGACTGGATTAGTTACATCTTCTTTGTTATGTGAGAAGTCAGAGTACAGATTTTACCACTATACTTTAGATGTTTGGCAGCATCTGAACTCTAAAGCTTTGTAATAGTCTAGCTTGGAAAGAAGCTTATATGGCAGAAGAAATCTGGCCTGGTAAAGCTTCCTGTGCCATCTGACYTCAGCTTTTGCCAGAAAGATCTGATTTCACAGTTCTGTAGAATGATAGCCGTGCATCTTCCGGAGAGCTATTTGTGAGCACCATTTATCCAAGTCCTGCAAATTCTAGGAGCAGAAATTTGAAATGTTGGGAGCATTGAGAGTCTAGAATGTATTTAAAAAAATTCTAGTAAGTTTTTCCATTATGTTACTGTGCTACTGTCTTCAACTTATTAGCAAAATTGTGTTCTTTTAATAGTTTGAGAGATAATCTTTCAGTGAAGTCAGTTAAAGAAACAGAGAAGAAACTTCGCCATCTGCTTGCAGACTTGCCACTTCCACCTGAGTTGCCTGGAGGAGCTGAGGTACCCAAAAGTCCTGAAGAAAAGAAACCAGCAGTTCAGTTACATAGCAAGAGAAGACCAAAGTATGTTTATTAAACCTATTTTAAAGCGTATCAAGCAAGTTGAAATGATAATAGTTAAAATATATTCTTGTCGAAAGAGTTATTTTTAATGACATTTTTAATATTAATGTGGCTTTACTCAAGCTGCATGGTTTTACTACCACTTAATGGTAATAAGAGAGTTAATTAATAATTTCTCAAATGGTTAGTGTTGAGGGTGTCTTCAAAGTCAAGACAGTGCCTAGATATACTAGCTGTATTTTTTAAAATGTTTGTTGCTTTCTAGAATATGTGGACCACGACATGGTGAAACAAAAGAAAAAGAAATAGACTGGGGAAAGCGCTGTGTGGATAAATTTGATATAATTGGTATTATTGGTGAAGGCACTTATGGGCAAGTTTACAAAGCCAGAGATAAAGATACAGGTAAGTTCAAAAAAGTAAACATAATCCTACAATTTTAAACGAAAAAGATGGTTTTGTTTTGGATTTTGTTTTATATTGAGTTAAATTTGTGGTATTCTGCCCTCTCATGTTTGGAGGCTTTTAGTTGTTGGTGTGTTGACTTGTAAGTCTAGCATTTGTTTAAATGAGAAATTATTGTTTGCTGCATTGAAAAATCATTGATCTGTAAAGCTATGGCTGAAACCATGCTGAGCAGTCTTATATTCTAATTCTTATTTTTTGGGGTTTTATGCTTTGTACGAAGTTGAGCTAGTGAAAAAGAGAAGTTAAATATCCTGGAGAAACTACATGTCACCCTAGGCAGGTCAGCAGACAGTAATGAAGTTTGTAAAGGGATATAATTGTGAAAGAAGCTTTGCATAAAATTTGGTCATTGTTATTTGTATTCCAGTAGTCACTARTTCATAGTAGGAAGAGAATCTGCTGCTGTGCAACACAGCCCTGAAGAGTTGCAAATGCGATATTTTTCTTGAAATGTAACTGACTTTAATGACAATGACATTATTTTTTGATTTGTTAAACTATTGCTGAAATGAGTAAGCAGTCACCTCTAGGATATATAATACTGTCACTGCTTCTAAATAGATTATCTAGATTCTTTATATATGCTGTATGCTGCTTGATTGTTTTATGTTCAGTTAGTTCTTTCTATGACTGCTTGCCTTTCTGGCTTATTTGTGCATTCTTTGAATGCTGAATAATTTTCTACTTTAGCAGTAACTGAATCCCATAGGGCCACATACCAGCCTCAGTTCCTTCTTTCTGGAGATTTTCTGATCTCCAGAAGAATAAGCAGTGTAATTATAGTTCCTTCTTCATTCTTTACCTGTCCTTGCCTCAGTTAGCAAACCTCAGTTCTAGTTGAACTGTCACAGGTTTTTACCTCTACTTTGAGAACCTGTACAAATCATTATTAGTATCTCCTGGGATCCTCTTCTTTGCACAATGGCTTTTTAATCCTGCTGTAACTTTATTGCATCTTTAGCAAATTTCAGGTTATTTGTACATCACAGTCATCTCTAAACCTCCTGTAGAAGTAGTTGGTTTTTGCACTGAATGGGTCCATACAGATACAGCAACCAAATCTGTTAGCTTTGGAGTCAAATCCTGTGTGGAGAGTGGCATTATGGCCTTTGAGATACTTTGGAGGAAGAAGCTGTGTAATGGGCTTTCAAAGTAAGTGGGTATTGTGTCATGCTGGACTGTGATCTATTGTGAGTGTATCAAATAAATTAGTGTAGGATAAGTACTCTTTAAAACCAACAAAGATACCTGGTCTGTCAAAAACTTCCCAGACCCAGCAATAAACTTCCAAAACCAAAATGAYTGAGCTAGCATATATAGTCTTTAAACAACCTCCATCATGAGTACATTATACTGATGAATTGGAGAACTCTTTAGTCATCTGCCTCATATCTTTATCAGTGTGGTATTTGTGGCTAGATATATGCACTCTGACCTGTGGTATTAACAAATCCAGAGCAGTCACAGGCCTCTGTCTCTAAAGCTTATGCTGGTTATCACTCTTTACTGGTGGACATGGTGTGGAATTTTGGGATATGTGAATGAGTTGTACAGGAGGGAGAAGATGGACCTTCTAGTGTATAGCTGAAAATTCTTGTTTGTAATTTTGCTTCTCTGTGTGATGCTGATTTCTGTTCAGCATAGTGTTTGGTGCAAGCATCAGGGTTTTAAAAACAAACATACAAATCAATACTAAATCCCATGGTTTGGTTGCTAATCTAAATGGGTTTTATTTAAATTTTCTCTTAGGGGAAATGGTAGCACTGAAGAAAGTACGTCTGGATAATGAAAAGGAAGGGTTTCCAATTACAGCTATTCGAGAGATTAAGATTCTTCGACAGCTTAATCACCAAAGCATTATCAACATGAAGGAAATAGTGACGGATAAGGAAGATGCTTTGGACTTCAAGAAGGACAAAGGTGTGTATGCTAATGGAGGGGTTGCTCTTTCTGGACCTGTTCTTGGACCTGTGATAGTCTGCTATGCTGGATTTGAAGTTAAGCTTTATTAAAAACATGATTGCAAATTGTGATGCTTGACGAGGGAGTTTAATTTTGATTTAAATACTGTAAAAAGTTGTTTAACTCAGCTGTGCCTTTTGCTTATAAAAACATTTTCTGCAAATGTTTTTTGGGATAAAACAATGTATTGCTTGATTCCAGTTTTGCTGTAGAGGAACAGATGTTTGACTCCTTGGCACCCATGGATTAGAGAGGCTAGCGATAATAGGAAGCTCTTAATTTGAGCTTTTTTTAACCTTTTATTTTTTCAGCAGTACTTTCTTATACTATTTAGAGTATTGTAGGCTGAAAGCTGAAGAGCTGTTTTTCATTTTAGAACTTGATTTTATTTTAATTGTGCTTCAGCTACTTTTTTAATGATTGAGCATGTGTGTTTTGAGGGCTAGAAGAAGAGTAAATTTAAAGAATGAAAAGCAGGACTTGTATAGTGGTAATGTTTTCCCCCTAACAGAAGGCATGCAGACTTGTACTCTTTTGGTTCCTTTAGTTCTAAGAAGTCTGTATTCTTTGTGTTGCTGCATTCTCCTTAGTCTACAGAATCAAGCAGAGTGAAAATCATGCAGTTTTGTTGTTTGATACTTTAGATATTGGAGTGGTGTTTTGCCAATGGAGGCTGTTTTATTTTAGGTCTAAGTGATACATACCTATCATTTTGGGAGTATTTTAGTGTCCAGTGGGCAATTTGTTATGTAGTTTAGCTGAGGAGAGTGTTTGGAATGTGGTACCTCTTCTTCTTCCTTGCTCTCCCTCCCTGAGTTTCTATACAGCATGCTTAGCACCAGTGTAGGTAGAAAATGCTGAGTGTACTGCATGGCCAGCTGAAACATCCTGTGACGATGATTCAGGAGGTGAATATCAAACAGGAATTAGTTTGGATTTTTTTGTACCATCTTTAGAGAGTATAATACCTTGAAGGGTGTACGACACTGACGTGCTTTTTTTTATTGTGTTTAAAAGTGGGAAGCATCTAGCAATAGTTTCTTGAGAGTAGTGCRGGTTCAGTGGTCAGGATCCCCTTAAAATCCGGACAGTCTGCAACAGCCAGTTTAGTCTTTKTATGTAATTGTGTCTAACCTACTTGGCTAATGAGACCACACTGAATCTTCACTTAATATTTAATGACTTGTTAATGAATTTTCTTTCTTTCTGTTTAGTGCCATGTTTAGAATTGAATTGTAAATTTTTTTTTGTGTACCTCAAACTGTGTCTCTTTAATTTGAAATGGGGATTTTTTGTCCAAGTCTGTATTTGTGCTTTTGATACCACTTTTGATTGAATTTCTTGATCTTATTTAACAGCATATTAAGACAACTGCATTTCCTGAAATTTTTCAAGGGCAGGGGCTTCTCTGGAGATGCTAGAATAGAATTAATTTCTCATACTTGAGTAAGTTCTGATAGTTTCTTGAAAACATTAGCAGGATAATGAGACTGCTGTTACAACTTGTCTGTGAAAAGATGGAAGTTGTGGGTTTTTTTCAGGCACTGTATTCTGTATTCCTCTAATGAGTAGTTAATTGTGAGATAGTGATTTATAACTGAGTTGTGGCCAAGTAGTCTGTGCAGGGAATGAATGCAAGGGGGAGGAAGTTTAGTCATTTTCACAGTGAAGTGTTGCAAATGCAAAAGTAGGCTGCATTAGAAGCCTTAGAAGAAGGCTTCTAAGGCTGCAAAGAACCATTAGAAAAGTGGTAGTAATATGTTACACAGGCAGAGCTTACAGTAAAAGCAGAGTATTTTGCCCATATGATGAACATGCATATGCTTAATGTATGTTACATGTTTCCCATAGCTTTGAAATATGACTTGGAAAACCCTGCTGATAATCACTTGTAAGAGTAGGGAATGAGAACATTTTTGCTATCATGTTTTTCTGGTTAGCGTGAGTAAAGTTAATACTGTGTCTAAGGCTGTGTGTCACATCCGGACATACTGCTCATTTGCTTTTTCACTTAAGGCAGTGTGTGGTTTTTTTTTTTTTTTTTATTTATTTTTTTTTTTTCTTTTTTTTTTTCACTTTTTTTTGGTAGTTTTTTTTTTTTTTTTTTTTTTCGGTTGGATCTCAGTAGTTTGAAATACAGCACATTTAGTTTTCTGACAATAATGTAAGTGTTGGGCCCACTTTACAGTGCTCGATTTGAGGATACTTTTAAAGATAGTAACATTGGACTGCAAGCCAGCAATGGCTTTGTTTGTACAACTTTGTCCTTAATACTGTGGGCTACATTACATGTTTTTAAGTGACATACTCAAAAGTTTGGAAGAGAGATTACTGGTTCCCTATAAAAAAGTCTATCTCAGTATTTTCAACCTCTTACTACTTTAAAAAAAAAAGCTGAGGAGGCTTATAGCAAAATGAAAATCTGATGGTCTCGTTTTGAAAACCAGTTTCACACCTCAGCATTGTAGTGCTATGCATTGAACAAGGCAGGGATACTGTTTTTTTTTTAAAGCATCTCTGTATTTTGAGATACTATTGTAATGCATTTTTACTAGAATTGAACTTAAATTTTTATGTAATAATGCACCTCTGGTCTTCTGGTTCATCTGATCTGTCTCATCAGATACTTTGTGATACATTGAATACCTTTTCTATGAATTACATTTGGAAAATACTTGTGTAAAAGCCATCATCTCTGGAGACTTTCGGATGATTCTTCCCTGCACACCCNCCCCCCCGACCAAAATACTTGCATCTTTGGGAACAAATGCATAACTTGACATCCTGTTTTGTTGAATCTGTGTGATTTGAAGACAGTCCAAAGAAATCCAGAGCCTGCCTGTGTCACAAAAGCACAAAGTATGTTTTGTTAGGATTTTTTGGCCTCTCAGAAAATCTGCTGTTTATTGCACATCATTATTGCTGTGTTTTGTTGAGTTACCTCTTCTTGTAGGCGTAGCTTTACTGCATTATACCCCAGCTCATTTTTTGTTAAGAAACCTGTTTCTGTTAGAGCTCCTTGACCTGAAACATATGAGGAGATGTGTTAAAGTCCAAGAGGAGGAGATGTGTTAATCCTTTAATCATTCTAAATTCTAATCATTCCCTTGCTGAACCCCATCAGGTTTTGATGACACTGCTTCCAGAAATGGGGATGGTGGGCAAAGCTAGCGTCAAGCAAAACATAATTTTGAAATGTAACCTCCAAGTTATGAAATGGTGCCCTCATAAAAGAAGAAACTATTTTTTTTCTGTTATGTTTTACTTTTTTGAGAAATGGATATTTTTGTGGCATTTGTTTTGATAGAACTACAGTATGCTGTTAATTTGAACTCAGACTAAGTTGTAGTAAGCACATTTCTGCCTGTGCATAGTTAACTTGTGATGTCTTCCGTGACTCTTTTCTTTTTCCTGAATGATGGCTTCTTTCCCTGTTATGGAGGATCAAATCCCCCAGTCTGATAAGAAAGCAATGAAGATTTGAAATTAACAAAACGATTTTGTTGACAGAAACTACAGATCTGTCAGAGAAGGGCACCCACRTTTGTCTAGGAATAAATTAACAGGAGTCCCATTTCAGTTTACATGCTAAGTTCTTTGCAGCTACAGTCACTTCTGAATATAGCTTAAATAATACTGAAAATCAGGTTTTAATGGTAAGATTGTCAAGGTTARTAGACCAATTTTTAAAGTTTCTCATAAGGAATTAAGATTAACAGTTTTTATTTTTTAAATAAATTTTAATAACATGTAAGTAGGAGAGAGGCACTTAATGCACAATTGTAATGAATCGGTGCATTTGCTCTTGTTCTGATAAGGAAGGAATATTTAGCATTTATACTGTTCTAGTTTATGTTTCTTATTAAGAGTTGCAGAGATTATAAATAATCAGACCTCAATTTCCGGTATTGCTCTTTATTTATGAATCTTCTCTATTGTTGTCAGCTTTCTTTCTTGCGTGAGGGTGCCAATTATGATTGCTGGTTATAAATAGCAGTGAAAAAAATCCTGGGAGTTAGTGACAGAGCAGGAAACAGCTCAAGGCACGTATCCTACTTTGCATATAAACAAGAGGTCTCTGTGCAGCTGTTCTCACTAAACAGTTCTACAGTCACTCTTTCTCCTTGTCGTAAATGCACGTGCAGCCAGCTGCTGCCACAGAGTTTTAACTTCTTCTTGTACTCCAGAGCAAGAAGGTACCAAGATTCACTGGCATTCAGTTTTGTTGAGCTTATGCCCCCTGAAGGGCATATCTAGATTATTCTGGCACTGCAACATTAATATGAGGTGTTTTGTTTCAAGGCATTTTAAAATATGTCGTGGTTCATACTTCAGCAGTTGTCATTGAAGTGGATCTTACAGCATATTGTCAGTGTCTAGTTTCAAAAGACCAAGATTAGGAGCCTCTGTGCTTTTCCATGTTGTATTGATGAACTGGATTGGTGAACTCAGTTATGCAAATAGTAACACAATGGACTGATTATTCATGGCTCTTAATACTTTGTTCTCACCTTATAAAGTGATGGGATTGTGTTTTACCTGCTTGATTCACCTTTTCCACCTCCTCTGAACACAACAGTAGGGGCATTTTATGATGAGTATTTTGCATGCTCTGTACAATGTACAACAGGACAAAAGCACCTAAATTAAGAACAGTAAATTCTTGAATGTCTTATGCAGTGGCCTGCGGTTTAGCTGGTGTATGTTGGTCTTTGTTATAAGTTTAACACTAACTGTATGAGTAATCTTTTTTCCGAATAGAAGATGGACCTAGCATTCTTTATTCCCTTTTCAGCTACTAAACAATTTTAAAAGTCAGCTCATTAGAYGTGTCTGCATGTGTATGTATGGCTTCTGTCAAGCTGACTTCTCATTCTTGCTCCAAGACTTTCACTAGTTTCTGAGTTGAAACTTATTTAGGAACAAGAGTGTGTAATGAGTTCTTGCTAGGCAGAAGCTATTTGTAGTGGTGGATTTCAGGAGAGGTTTTTGGAAATGCAAGGTAGACAGACCCACTTGAATGTGGTTTCTGCATTACTTCCTGCTCTCTGCAGGGTTTGCAGTGTTCTGTGTGTCCCAGGGAAGAGGGGAAAGAATGAGGTACTAAAACGTGGATTGTAGTGGGAATGGTTGTGCTGGAGATTGGTTATTGCTGCTTCTGAAGCATTCAGTACTTATCGTTTTTAAGAGTGCTTATATGTATCAAAGAGCCTTGGTTTTAATAGCTCATTTGTAGAATTGTACAGTCTAATGTGAGATGAGACCAGATTCTCTTGTGCTTAATGTATTTATGTGGCAACTTAAAATAAGGAGTCTGTCTTTGCAGAGCTGCTATTACTGGTAGGATAGTTCTGCTTTCTCATTTGGTCCTGTCTTATAGGTATTTTTAGTTTGAGAAGGGCAGGCTTATTTCTGACCCAATTGCACAGAAATCTTTTTAAAAAGTTAGTCACAGAGTCATGACAGATGAACAGTAATGCACAATAATGCTTGTAGTATTTTGTTTCTAGATTTCTCTCCAAACTAGGTAATATTAACACAGTTAATGTTTCTTGAAATAAAATGGATGGAAATTGAGAGCTGGAGGGAGAGTACATGTTCATCTGACTAAGGCATCATGTGGTAACATTATATTTCTTTTCACAAACATTTGTATAATTAGTATAATTATTCATGTAGAACAGCAATTTATTAAAACTTTTTACTGTACTGTATTTCACTGGACATGAGTTACAGCTATAAATACTGCAGAAAATGAAAGCAGTAGTATGAAAAATGCTTCTGTTCTTAAAAAGTAGGCAACACCAATGGTATTGATCAGTTTTTGCTCAGTGTTTTTCCTACCCTTTCTCTTTTTTGTCTAGGTGCATTTTACCTGGTATTTGAATATATGGACCATGACTTGATGGGACTGTTGGAATCTGGTTTGGTTCATTTTAATGAAAATCATATTAAATCTTTTATGAGACAGCTAATGGAGGGCTTGGCCTATTGCCACAAGAAGAACTTTCTGCATAGAGATATCAAATGCTCAAATATTCTACTAAAYAATAGGTATGGATATTACTTAAATGTATGTAACAAAAATTATATGTTAATGACATCTTTAAATCATTCTCTTACTCTTCACATTTCACGTACTTGGAGTCATTAGCAAAACTTTTTTTTTTTAAATTGCCTAGTTTCTTTAAAATCAGTTGTAAAATACTAATCTGATAATGTTTGTGCTTAACACTGGAAACTGCAGCTGTTTATTAAACTTAATCTGTCTTAAAACAGAAGACTCAAGTTTTAATCCTGCCAAGTCAGGAGTATTGGGTGGAAATTATCTGAGTTCAAATATATTAAAGCAGAATTGGAGGACCTAAGTGTTTGATGTCTATTCTTTCTGCCATCTCATTTCAAGATTGGAGTGTGGCTAGGCTGGTTCTTCCTCACAATTCTGAGGTTCTCTTTTTCATCAGTCAGGATAATGCTTTAAAAAAGTATTTGATCAGGCATGTTCAAGCATGCCTCAACTTGCAGTTATTACTATTATCAAAGGGGGAGAATAATTTGTTTCTTACTACTTTAACATGTGGTAATTGCAAATCAGATTAGTAAGCATGGTGTTTTTGGTGTGCAGCAGCAGCAACAAATAAAAAAGGCAGTATGAAGGTAGTGGATGATTCCATTACAAACTGTTGTGCATCAAAACCTGGGGTACTAAATCCAGGGAGCAACTGTAAGAGCCAGGTTTACAACGGCAAAAGAGAGTATCATTAAAAAAAGAGTAGGTAGGAAGCTTCTGGGATTTGTTGTCACAGGAGGCTTTCTGGATAGTGCCAAAAAACATAAGGCACATTCAAGGATGGGATCATTAACATCTGCTGATGGGAATGGACAGGGATATCTGTTTTAGCATCCTTAGCACAATGGTTGTAGGTCATGGTTGAGGAAGATGAGCCCCAAAGGCAAGGGATTCACATGTTCTACCTAAAAATCTAATGCTGCCATGGGAGATGAAATCCTGGGCAAAGTGGATCAAGGGTCTGTTTTGRTAGGCCTAGTTTTCTCCCGGCTTTCTCCAAATTAAATTTTCTGTTTCCTCCTCCTTTTTCCTTTAGAGTGAACTGACATTAGACAGTTTCCAACTCTGTGTCCTACTGCAGTCTTTTCAGATTATGATACAGACTCTTAAACAGATCACACTTTTCTCCCCATTACTCACTGTGCCCAGACACCTAATCTTATTGCCTGTAATCTCCAGGGTTAGTGTTTCTCTGTGCATCTTTGGGAACTCAGAAGCTGAGTGTAACCTGATGGTGGAGAAGAATGCATTATGGTAGAGAAGCTTATAATTTTACTGTGCTCTCCAATCCAGGTTACAGAGTTGGGTTTTTTTTTCTCMTAAGATAGTGTCTGAGCATCCTTAGATTTTTCCACCCGTAGCAGAAAAATGTGATAGTAGATCATAATAAATAATTTTAACCCAGTGTTTCAAAATTCCTAATTCTGTAATCCAGTTACAGCCTGAAGCCAAACATGTGGATTATGTATCTTTTAGATATGCAGCTTCCACAAATTTTTGAGAAAATACATTTATCTTCCACAAATGACTTCTGAGGAATAAGCATGTTAATTTGAGGGGAACATTTCTTTGTTTACAGAGGTTCTCCAAGAAATCAGAGGACACAGCTGAGAAAATAAGTGGATGGAAACTATAACCTGTTTATTTTATTATCACAAAATGATAGTGTACATGTTATTACCAGAAGATGGTCATGCTAACAGTGAATCTTGCCATAATTTGCTAACATGCATTTGAAAGTGGTGGGAGTCATAAAAGCTCATCAGTACAGAAAAGCAAAGCCACATATGACAGTCCAACATTAATTTCATGTATTAGAGAAGCTTGCAGATAGCTTTTTGTTTGAATCATCCAGACTTTATAAATAGCACAAGTTTTCTGGTCATTGAGCAGTGCCTTTCAGCTGTGGGAACTGCTGGGCAAGAGCTCTGTATCTTCTATTCTTCCCCTCATATATGGGAAAACTCAGGAATGGTTTAGGGGTTGTATCATTCAGCAAGTTGGCTGCTGACAAAAATAGAAGCCCTTATCTAGTCCGTCACTGTGATTTAAAGGGTGTGTTTCAAATGTACAAAACAGGGCATTGATGGCTTCCTAGAAGGAAGTATTACTGCTGATAGTTGTTTTCCCAATGCTCATGCTAACAGTGAGAAAACTGCAGTTTCTTCTTCAGTTTTTTCCTGCAGAGTTACTGACTTGAATATTTTATGGTGTAGACCTAAATTTTGACTAACATCCAGTGATGTAAATGCCATTTGATAAGCATACCTAATTTTGCTTACTTGTCTTTGCTATTCAGTAAGTTAGCATACTGTTTACTAAAGAGATGCAGAGATTGCAAAGTATTACCTCTTCATTAATGTGGTTTGATGAAGATCAGTTGCAGCTTAAGTCTTAAACATGACCTGATTTTGGGGGAGGATATCTTGACAGTATTAGCAACTAAATGGTTTTTTCCTTTTTGCACCAGAGGGCAGATAAAACTTGCAGATTTTGGGCTTGCTCGGCTGTACAACTCTGAAGAAAGGTAAGATACAATTATATTGTGAAAAAGCATTCAGAATTTTAACCTTTTTGCATAACTATTATGAGGGTCAGAAGACTGTTTGATTCAGAGAAAATGTTACTGTACTGTAATACAAGTAATTGCTTAGGAAATGGAAAGAAATGCGTGTTGTCTTACACTGCATAGAACCACAAAAGTCTCTCTGCACGTGTATTGCATTTYGAGGTGTTCTGGATAAATAATGGTAGAGACTGGCCATACATTAATTGGAAATTAAGTTACAGTCCTAAGTTTCTGGTCCTGTAAACCTAAGGTATATTTCTCCTCTTGGTATACTGAAGGCTTAATTTAGGGAAAGCAGTTTTTTTTTGCTGACACAAAGCTGCATACAGTTCCCATTCAATAAACATTTGTATAAGATTTAACCTTACATTTTAAGAGGTTCATTGTATTCTTTAGGCAGTTAATGCTGTTGAATCTGCTGGAAACAGAGATACAAGTTTAAATAAAAGTTATTCTGAAACTTCTTGTGACTTGAGTTTCTGTTGTTCTTGGCTTTGTTTTGCTCATACTCCAGGAAACAGGTGCACAGTTTTTTAYGATCAAGAACTTTGCAATGTTGTATTTATCATGTGGAACTGTTTTTTCAAAATTCAAGCTGAATGTTTACTATAGTAGTATGTCCACGAGGTGGTTGGATACAGAGGTGGCTGGATGCCTGAGCTTACTTTGGTCTTTGCGTGACCGATTTGGGAAATAATATCGATAATGTTAGCTTTATGGGTTTATTGTTTTCTATGTAGCTCTTAGGTTGTTGATGAACATTGATAGCATTAGTTTCACTGAGCTATTGTCTCTGAACTCTAATTTCAGGAAAATATCCGTAAGTACAGTTATGACAGCTGTTGAGTATAATAGCAAAGTGAGATAATCTTAAGTAGCTCCTAGCTAATTATTTTTTGGTGATGTACTTAATAAAAGGATGTTATTCTACCTTCTTGCTTTAACGTGCACCAAACTGGCCTAATGGGCTTTTTTTCCCCCTCTGGTTTACCATGTTTTGCTTGGAGTTTTTTATGTCTGTTTTTAAATGAATTTAAAGTTTGTCTGTAAAACTCACTGTTCATTAAGGATTAAAAATTCAGTGTCTTTATAATGCAAATAACAGATTTTACTGTACATCTAACAGCAACATTATTATGCCTTTATGCATAAATGAAATCAAGATTAGGATTTAATTAACCTAGCTAATAGAATTGCCAGTTGAACTTGGGAGAATAATTAAAATCTCATTAGTAGATTTCAGGCAATTTTTTTATCATTCATTTTCCTCCTGACCTGCAGTAACAGATGTAATTAATGTATATCAACAAGTATATAATAGCTGCTGGTTTTAATTCATGTACTTTGCATTTGGCTTACTGTTGTTTAGAATTTAATACTGTTTGAAAGGGTATGAAATTTAGTAGTGGCATAATGGGGAAGAAATAAAAATTTAAGTAAATACCCATTGATTGTGGTAGTTGTTCTCTTTTAAAAGTTATTCTGGTGGATATTATGTGTTTGGAGCAGGAGATATGACAGGTTGCATGACAAGACAACTGTTCAAATAAAAACCACCATATACTATTATATTTGAGTAATGTATCTGTAGAAATAGTCCATACCATATAAACATTTAATAGAGGAAAACTTGATGCAGAGTTAAATAAAGGGATTTTTTTCTGGAAACAGACTACCTTTTTAAAATGAGGTTGGGAGTGTGTTAATGAAAAAAAGACTCAGGTGATTTTGCAGAAAGGATACCTGTACTACTGAGAGTGTTATAAGAGCTTGTTAGGCTTTATTGTGTGGTCAGTCATACTTAATTTTACTCTGCTTTCCATTTGGAAAAACTTAGTGTTGGTAACAGTGAGTTGTTAAAACTGAAAGAATTCTGGGATCACTTTTAAAACACCCTGGTTGAAACAAAACCAAAATCGAACATTTCTTTTCTGTTTTCCATTCTGAACTGTTTATTCTGTAGTTCAGCTTGTGCACAAAACAAAATGTGTGTCTAAGTAGAAATCTTTCCTTTAATGGGAGAGTGGAAAGGATTATTCACAGTGACAAAATTTCTGGTTAGAGCTGTGGAGAATTAAAGATGTTGTGAAATATAGGAAGATACTAGAAACATGCAGGCTTTGGAATCAAAATTGTTGAATGATGTAGTTCCAGAAAAAGGCTTTGTCTTTTTTGCTTATACTTAAAGATGGAAAAGTGAATTTTTTTCTTCTTTTTAAAATGCTTGTGTAGATCTTACATTCAATATGGTAATAATCAATAGTTGTATGAAAGTTACTGGTTTTATCTAAGCAGGTACTACTCCTGAAATGACTAGCAATGTAATAAATATACAGTATTGCATTCTGAGTAATCATTGAGATACAGAATTCACAGAGCATCAAGGTGGCTGTGTGATTATTACTTATATTCAACCTGACTTTTTGTAGCCTTCATCAGGCAATTGTGTTTGCTTTTGTACAGTTACAGTTTTGAAGGACTAAAATTAAAAGAGAGTGGAAGATTGTACTGTTCTTAAACAGCGTCACCAGAAGTAAAGTCCTTAAGGTATCATTTTTTCAGAAGTGTGATCGTGCTAAAATGATAGTCCTCTCATTTTCCTCCTCCCAACAGCCGACCATATACCAACAAAGTCATCACATTATGGTATCGGCCTCCTGAACTGCTGCTTGGGGAAGAAAGATACACACCAGCTATTGATGTCTGGAGTTGTGGGTAAGAGCTTGGACAGAAGTATAGCAAGGATAAAAACAAGCCAAAACTCAAGATTAGATGTTTCTATCTATTGAAAGCCATGATAATGGAATTACGCAAAATTGTTTTACAGCTGTATCCTGGGTGAACTTTTTACAAAAAAGCCAATATTTCAAGCAAATCAAGAACTTGCTCAACTGGAACTTATAAGGTAACTTGCAAGCACTGGTACATATTAGGTGCCTCATAAACTGGCACGTTACTTTTCTTAGTGTTAAAATCTGACATAATGCACTGCAAGCATTTGCAAGTGCTAAGTTACTGCCCTGGGTCACATGTTAGAGGTTTTGAGTGGCATGTTACACAAGTGACTTCGTCACAGACATGGAGAAAGTGTTTTTGTTTTTTGTGTTAGTAGCAATGTACAGTTGATGAGTAAGACAGGTTTTTGTAGAATAGCTGGAGTTGCCTATTACTGAAATTGTAAAGAGAGAGTAATCAAAATTGCTCTTACTTTTTAAGATGCTGTTGCAAATTGTTTGCAGCAAATCAAAATGAGAACATGGACAATAATAAGGATCAGTGGAATTTGGGAGGAAGAGGTATTTGGCACAGTGCTGTCCTTGAGTTCTTGTTTCAAGCCTACCACATACATACCTGAACCTTATTACTTCTGTGGAAATATTTCCCTTATAACTGCCAGATGTTTGATGGAGATAAAAAATCTGTTTCTTTCCTTGTTCTCAGTAAATCATAAAATGGTAAGTACTTAATTGAGTGGAACCAGAGCATCTTTTTATTTCCCTTTATTCAGCAATCAAAAATTGCTCTTGATTCTAATAACATAATTGACATTGTAAATGAGAAGAGGTGCTCTTTCTAGAAACAAGGGGGAAAGAGGGTAAATCCTACAAAACATAGAATGTGAACAGTAAATGGTCAAATTAATGTAATAAAAATTATTTAAAAAAATCTGTATTTAGGTATTTTTCAAAACAGATCAAACATTAGCATGTTTTTGTGTAATGTGTTATTAGCTGGCCTGAAAAAAATGAAGTTTTTAGGAGGTGCAAAGCATATCTATGGTTGTTTTTTGCATAAGGAGAATTAAACTCCTGAGTTTGGGAATTTCTGGTTTTGAGCACTAGATGGCGTTGAAGCACATGAGTATGAGTAATTTGAAGTTTTTCTTTGTGTTGTACCTCTAGTACAAAACCCTAAAACTTTGTGATTTCCTTCTGCTGGAAGCTTCTGTTTGTAGCTCATTTTTCCTCCTTATTGATGCTATGCATTTTTTTTCTCTTTGAATGAAATGTATTGGTTTTATCAATATCTCTGCTGCAATCATATTGCAGTCAACAATTCTACTTTTATCTTTTCTACCTTTAATGTTCAAAGATAGAACTGAAATAAATTCTGATAGTAAGAGATTTATAATTTTTATTCTCCCTCCTTAAAGTTACATACCCCAAGCAGCATGAAGTCAGATTGGTATGCACAGCACTTGAGGCATAACTAGTTGATGATTAGGTCTCTTACACTATCCATTTAAATGTAATAAAAAGGAAGGCTGAAATAGGGAAATGTGTTTGTAAAATGTCCTTCTATGACTGCCTGAATCCGAATTTGAAACTTTGCATAGATGGAAATACCTTCTTAGTTCTTCTGCTCAGATGTCTGTCTGCTGTGCTTAGCCATCCTTGGTTGGAAAAAAGGATGGGTATGAAATGTGAGGCATAAGACTAGGGGCAACTCCGTTTGTAGAGATGGATGAGGCGTAAAACGTAAATCTCATAAATGAAATAAATACAGAAGTGTTCTCGTGGTTTCTGCCTTTAGAACTTAATGGGTTGTTTGGTTTTTTTTTCTCTTATGCCTTCAGTGTTAAGTAATTTCTCAGTGAAAAGTGTTTTTTCAGCTATTTGGTGTATCTTTCTTCAATGGCATTGGCAGCTAAGAACAGAAGTTACACCTAATGTGGGCTGTCTAGTTCTTCAAGTCAGATACCTGGAGTACCCTTCAGATGTAATTGGTTAAGTTTTTCAGAACATTTATGTGGAGGATATGTGGGCTGGGCTGAGGCAGAAACTGAGTTTAGTCTATAGGGGGTGGTTACCCTTTGTAGACAATTCACCATTATTTAATGATGTTGGGCATTTGACGGTGAAGACATTTAAGCTAGAAATAACGTGAAGATTAAAATTGAAAATTATTTTTTTTTCATTGTACATGCAAGAATAAAAATGGACAGCTGTGCTCTCTTGTGGTTTTGGATCTCATACCCTTTCTTCCCTTCTTTTTGGTACAGCCGAATTTGCGGAAGTCCTTGTCCAGCAGTGTGGCCTGATGTTATAAAATTAGCTTATTTCAACACAATGAAACCAAAGAAGCAGTATCGTCGAAAACTGAGAGAAGAGTTTGCTTTGTAAGGATGAAGAATTAGTTTAGTCAACTGTAATAGCATTAAATTTTCCCAGAGACTTTATGAACTTAAGTATTTTCCAGTGAATGAAATAGATCAGGTGTAACAAGAAATGGCTTTAGATTCTTGTCCTTCCCATGGTACCCCCAGAGCGTGTATTAACCCTTACTAAATAGGAGCTTCAAGAAGAGGAAAGAAGGCCCTAAAATTTCAACTGCCTGTTAGCTTTCACCTAAGGAAACATTTGTTTGGTACACCKGCTTGTTGCCATGTCTAAAAAGCAGCAAAAAGAGTACTTAATTGCTTTTTATTAGTAAAACTGGCTGCAGCTAAATATGTAGTCTGGTTAGCATTACAGTCTTTTTATGTCATAAATTCACTTAACACAGAGGAGTTACCTGAACCGTATGTTCTAAAGTACTACCATTGGATTAGTTTTGGGTATATATCACAAGTGAAAGGTATGGAAAACAGCTGTAAGCTTATTTTAAAGGGATTGTTCCCCTCCTTCAGGTACAATGGGTTTCAAGAGAAATTTATTTTTCTGTTAATACAATGAGATGAAAATCTTTAAAGCAATGGAATTATTGTCCATGGATCAGTCAAAAGTGCAACTCTCTGGTGGTAAATTCCAAAGTGTAAAGTAACAATATAGTCTTGGCTTAAAAATATGGGTTTATGTTATTTGTAAGGACAAGGTTTCAAGTAGTTAAATGATGCAAAGCRAAGAAAGCTTGGTTGGCTCTCAAGTGCAGGTTGTGGGTGTATTTTGTTAGTATATAAGTTATCTGAAGGCTTAATGATCAGTTGTCTTGGAAGGGATGTGTTTATTAAAATAATGCATAGCAATGTGTGATGCACAATAAAGATATGGTGCTTTCCTCTATTTTGTACTTTCGTAGCATCCCACCAGCTGCATTAGATTTATTTGATTATATGCTTGCCCTGGATCCCAGCAAGCGCTGCACAGCTGAACAAGCTCTTCAGTGCGAGTTTCTCCGAGATGTGGAACCATCTAAAATGCCTCCTCCAGAGTAAGTAATTCCTGTTGGTAGTGCTACTGACCTCTAGGAAGCATGAACATGCAGTGATTTCACGATGTTCATTGAGATTCAGTAAAGGAGGTGGTGACAGAAATGTTGATATATTCAGTTGTTGAAAGGTGATTTTGCAGTAAAGTGCTTGTATATAAGTGACTCTTGCACATGATAGCAGTGCCAGTGAGGATCTGAGAATTGATTCATCATTACTTGAGCTAGTTATTGGGCTACTAGCTTTAAAGAAAATACTTGTCTATGTTTCCAATATTTTAAAAAAATAATTTCCCTTTTATCTCTGTTTATCAGTATCTACTTTTTCCAAGGGTTTTGAGGTCCTCCATGATTCTGAATTGCCTTCTTTGATGGTAGAATGACACTAGTATAGAATTCTGTACAGGTACCTGAGAGTTAAACTGAAGTACTGTAAATTGTTTCCTGAGCCAGATGAGAGTCTTGGTTTTACAGGCAGGAAAAGTGAAATACTTTGTGCAGGGTTGTTCCTTCAATTTCTGCAGAGGAAATGTATTTCAATGTCCTGTAGGATTTTTGCAATGATTTTGCAGTCCATACAAATCATGCTGGACCATGCCCTGGGGAAAACAATGAAAAGGTATTAGAGAATCTGCGGGTCTCATTCTTTGCTGAATATAGCTGTCAGAACATAGAACATATTGTCTGAGTAAATGGAACCTTCAAGGCAGCCTGTACTGACTTCTTTTTAATTAGTTATCTACTGGGAAAAATGTTTGTTTTATCTAAGGATTTAATTAGAATTCTTTCAAGACTCACCTGTTGCATTCACAAGGTTGTTACACACAGAACGGGTGGCATGGGCAGAGACCATAGTGGTTCATCTGGTCCAACCTCCCTGCTCAAGCAGGGTCATCCCAGAGCACATGGCACAGGATTGCATTCAGATGGTTCTTCAGTATCTCCAGTAAGGAAGACTCACAGCCTCTCTGGGCACATGTTACTAATGTTCCTGAAACATAAGGTGAAAAGGAATGTCATTGCCTGAATATGACTGTATCAGTGTGTGAAAATCAGAAATCAGCAATCTCAGGCTGTTTGCTGAAGCCTCAGAACCACTTTTACAGCATGTTGCTGATGTGCATTTTAAAGTAAGTGAATGGAAAGATAATATTTTCTTCAGGGATGTGGTAATGCATCCATTCTAGAAGATATATGAAAATTCGAAACAAACTAGTCACTGGTGTCCTTTTAAAAATTTAAAGGAGCCACACTCATTTCTGGCACAGCATGGGAAAGTGTTGACTGTTCTCTTGAAAGATTGAAGTTCTGTTTTAGGAAGGAGCAGCTGTTCATTCTAAAAAAGTGACATACTGATTGCAAGGACCATAGGATACTTCTCACAAGGAGCTCTTGCTTCCAGTTGTTTTTCAGAAAATATTTGGCAGGTGGAAGGAGAGATAAAAGGGAACAGTTGTCATAATTGGCTTTCCAGTGTCTCTTGCCATTTCGCAGCYAAATATTTCCATGTTCCTGTGTGGCAGAACTGCTAAGACAGTTAATATATAATAGGAAAATGTAAACTACTATTTTTACTACCTATCTCAGTATTTCTATTACCTATGGATGAGTCTTTGTGTTCCTCAGGAAATCAGAATTGAGATGCCTGCAGGGAACTGTAATGGAAGGACAGAATTTGTAACAAATAAGTTTCTTGGGAGACTTTTCCCTCTGCATTCAAGCCTTAAAGCATATCTCTCGTTTTTGTGGTATCACAGCCTTGCTAGTGTCAAGTGCATGCAACTTACTTCTGCAACTTCTTTTTGTCCCTCCGCCACCCCCCACTTCCTAAGTTGTCTAAGCTGTACACCATAAATACCAGATAGCCATGTCTGTTATTGTGGACAAATATTTGACCTAATGACTCAGCAGTACTTTTACAAGCAGACAGAAGGGACCCTGAAAAAAACAATTTTATATTGATAACTTAGTTTTCTGGCAGAAAGCTAATTGTATTTCATAGCAACTGTGCTGCRTTGATTTTGAAGTCTTGATTTATAGAACTAATTAGGAAAATAATTCTCATTTTAAGATACTTTTTTCCCTTTTCTGCCAGAAGGACTTTGTGCTTCTGAAAGAGGTGTTCAGTAAGGAGATATCAGCCAGAAAAAGCAGGTCTGAAATTTTGCTGGCTGATCTTTGTACCTTTCAAAAGTTATATTATGTGTAATTCAAGTACTTATTTTACCAGTATGGTTAAAAAAAAAATAAAAATTGTGATAAAACTGATTATCTCCAATAATTTTTTGCAGCCTTCCTTTGTGGCAGGATTGCCATGAGCTGTGGAGTAAGAAACGCAGAAGACAGAAGCAGATGGGCATGACAGATGACTCTACAGCAGCCAAAGTCCCTAGAAAGGATCTGTCTCTAGGCATGGATGAGAGCAGAACAAACACCCCACAAGGCATGCAAACTTCTTCCCAACTCAAAACTCAGGGCAACTCTAGTGTAGCACTTGGTCAGTAATATTTTCAGTTCTTATAATTACCTACTACTTGGATTACACCTCTAGAAATTTTAGATATTGTTTGCAGAGTAAAGTCGTCTCCTGGATTCTTGAGGGAGGAACAGTATTGTAAGTTAAGTCTTTGTTATAAAAAATTTACGTTTGCTTTTGGAAACTTAAATGTTCCTTTCCGATTTTACCTAACTTTTCAACCTGGTCAGAGCAACTACCTTGCTTGCTCTGTATTTTGAGGGGATTTTAGCTCTTACTCAACAATAATTATTTTGTGGTTCCACAAGTCAGTGGCAGTTGGAAGTTTCTCACAGTCTCAGTAGACAGGATAATCTTTATTACTATTGATAAACTGATCAGAAGGCAGTGTTTAGAACAATCATCATTTTAAATGGTACAGATTTCATCTGCATATTATGTTAGGCTTCAACTTCCCAGGTTGTTGGGGCTAAATAAAATTGTAAAAAAAAAMCCCCAAAACTCCAAAACCAGCCCCCCCAGAAGCTGCTGTAACATGAAGTAGCTACCTCTGTGAATTTCACAGCAGTAATTCTGAAACTTAACCAAAGTATCTTGCTTGAGAAAAGTTTTGTAAGTATAACAAAATAAGTAATGGTGGTGATATAGAGACCATTTGAGATACACAGCAGTTAAGTGATAGTCTCACAAAATATGTAGAATATACATATTACAGAGAGTAACACCACCAAATAGATACCTATGGGTTTAATGTAGACCATTTTTGATTGTGTGAAGTGACCGTAAATCCTATGGCCCTGATAGAGGAGGTCAGCTGAAAAACAGTTTATGCATTTATAGCACCTGACAATTTTTTAACACTAACCTTCTTGAATCAACTCTTAATTTAGCTGTAGAATAGAGCTCCAGATATTCTGTGCAAATATATATAGAAAATAGTTACTTTGATCATATTTCATTGCAATTTATTGCCTCTTGCTCCATTCATCTGGTTTCTCACTGTAATCCAGACGTGAGCTTCTGCTAATCCATATGTTTAGGCTAAAGATTTGGCAGCATTTTCAAGAATGACTTTCTGTAACTCCTTTTTCCCTTGAATGAAACCATATTAGAAGTTCAGAAAGTCCAAAGGATAGTTGTTACTTTCTTTTATATAACAAAACAGCCCAGTGAGAGACTACTATTAGTCATTAATACTGACCATGCAAAAAGAAAGAAAGCAAATAGAGAAGGAATCATTCACACCTAAATTGCTGTTTACCCATATGTATCTGCTGTCTACTCATATAGAAAAAATATATCTAGATAGAAAAGAAGGCAGTTTAATTTTCAGTGGAGCATAGAGGTGTCTCCTGTATTTAGCAAAACTTTTGGAAGCCTTAATGCACCTTAGATAATGTTATCAATAAGACATACTATAAAACTCCATGACCAAATGCATRCTTTAGCCAAAACTCCTGCATTTGTTTCTAAACACCCCAAAAGGAGAGGTTAAAAAGACATTGGATCAATTGCTAGTGTTCTGATTCATTAATGAGACCCCCTGGTTATTGCATTTTGCAGTTAARTAGGAGCTGTTCAGAGCTCAATAATTCTGTTACGAAGATTTCCCAGAATACAGTTTCCTATTGGAATGAATTTAAAGCTAACCAGAGTATTGAATAGGTTGATTAGTTTCCCTGTCTGGCATTTTTCTGAGGAATTTTCACTGAGAGTCTGAGAGAAGTTGAGTCTACCATCCTCAGATGTAACAAAAGCTTATATTAATCACAACATCTGAGGGAGAGCCAGCAGTATGAGACATAAGAAATTGTGATTTATTTTTCTGTATTGACATATAGAAGTTGGTTTCTGTTTATATCGATATATAAAAATTTTGAAGTCCCTGGATCCTGCCTTATTACGTTCCAAGTCCTTGTATCCTGCTGCACATCCACAAGTAGGGTTGTAGGTTTTGCAGCACTTTGCAGCTGTGCTGTTCTTAAATTTTGCAAGGCAAATACTTAAGATTTTTGTGTATCATGCATGGCTTTTAATCTGCTGTGAATTAATATATTGTAAGCTAGCACAATGGCAAGGATAGAAGAGGACTGAATGTCTTTGCGCTGACTTGGATTTAAAAAAATTCAGAGCTCTGCCAGCATCTCCACACACTCATTTTCTATTTTTAACTACTTTCTTCTCTAAGTCATTTACTCATAGGGCATGTTGAAATCCATGCTGCTTCACTTCTTTCGAAATAAATCACCACAATGGTTATTTGAAGCTAAGAAACTACTTTGATATTCAAATTTCCTCATTTGTATTCCCTTGCCATCATCATAATCTGCTCTTATTTGTTGCAAATTCCATTTAATTGAACTAAATTGAAATTGTAGKCATCGCATATTTCCTGACAGTGAGGGACTGACTTCTTGTCCCTCAAAGTCAGCACTTCCTTTTGCATTTATACTGTGAGCTCCTGGGCCACCTAGAGCCAGGTCACTTGTGCAGTGTTGGAACCTGGATGCTGACTTGAATGGGCTGGAATATCACTGGAGATGGATTTTGCAGATGGCTGCTTTTTAACAAAGGAATGTGATATGTCAAAGATAGGAAATTTTGTGGGGATTGGAAATCTAACAGCTGCCTAAAGCAGGTGGCCTGAAGCTCCGGCATAGTTATATTGTGGAAAATAGAGCTGCAGCTTGGTGTTTTTCCATCTGTCCAAGTGCATGTGCACACCTCATGGAAGTCACTTTCATTATATTGGACCTTAGTGTTTTATTTTCTATAGATATTCACCCAAAAGCAGTTAATATGTGAAAGCATTCCATTTCTGTGTTGTCCAAACCCATGCTTTGCCAGTCATGTCAGCCATGCTAGATTAGCATTCTTTTGAGTTTCTGAAATATGCCAGTTCTAAATAATATTTAAAACACCTTTTTTGTCTTCAGCAAAAACAAGCACTGGACAGCAGTTAAACCAGAATGAAGTGGCAATCCTGCTAAACCTGCTACAATCTAAAACAAGTGTTAGTTTGGCACAGTTTGCCCAAGTATTGAATATTAAGGTAAACCCAGAGACTCAGCAGCAACTAAATAAAATAAATCTTCCTGCTGGAATTTTGTCAGCAGGTGAAAAACAGTCAGAAAAACAGCAGCAGCCACCGCCGCCTCCACCACCACCCCCAGAGCAGGAGCCTCTAAAAGAGCCGATGGTCACACAGCCCCCTGTGCCACCTGCTCAGCTGGGTCAGCCTAAAATTGAGACTGATGCTGCCCAGGCAGCTGTGCAGAGTGCATTTGCTGTTCTGTTGTCTCAGTTAATAAAGGCTCAGCAAACAAAACAAAAAGATTTTGTGTTGGAGGAGAAGGAAAACGGATCAGGAAATGAAATGTCATTACAACTCAGACAGCCTCCAGAGCCYGCCACTCCTGTGTCTGTCAGCCGGGACGACGTGGAATCTCCAGCACCTGGCTACCCACATCTGATCAAGTCATTATACATGTCTACAGGTACTGAAGGTCTTTATTGCTAACCAGCAAATACCTGGAGCACTGGAGATGTCATATTTTGGGGGTGGAGAATTAACACGTTTGCCATATGAATCTGTGTGAGTATAGGAGATTAAATTGCTTTGGTCTCATTTTATGTCTGGATCAGAGAATTTGTCTCTTAGTGTAACAGACAGAGCAAACAGTGATCCCCAGCCTAAGAGGTACACAAGTATTAGTGATGAAACACTGATCCTTATTCTGGGGGTTGGGGTTTTCATAGTGGTCAGTTTGGTTTCTAGCAGATGCATAGATGTAATTTGCCGTTTTTTACTATGTGTTTAGATAAAGCTTATTTTGGTGAGAAGATATTTTATTGGATTCTAATGCTGGCTAGAGCAATTCCTTAGTGTCAAATTCAGTGGTTACTTGTAACTGTCACAAACATGGCTAAAGGTTTCCACCGGGGTGTAGTAGTGGCTTCCGTAGACTTCCTCACAGTTTAGAGCTCTGTTAATTTTTTGGATTGCAAATTCAGGTTTATTATCGTGGTTTATGTGTTGTTTTCTGGTGTTCACAGCTGTTGAAAGAAATATTCTTAAGTGATTTGGGGCTGTTCTGTTTTTTTTTGTCAGCTTTTAAGAGGTGTGCTTTTTTGTTTGTGTTTTTATTAAAACTTGAGTTTTGCTGRTCTTCGATAGGGTGGCCTTTTGCCCCTTGAGACTTCTATTCTCTATTCTTTATGATCCTTCTTTGAATTTTTGGTGTTTGTGTTGCTTGAGTTTTGTTCTGGGTGTTTAGTTTTGGTGGTTTGTTTATTTTTTAAGGAGCTTATACTGTTTTTCTTTAACTGGCTGCCTGATAATCTTACTTTAAGGAGTAACTTGCATTATACTCCTGAGGCAAATGAGCTGTTGCAAAGTTTTGTCCAAAATAATCTCTATAGTTGCTGATAAATTTAGCTAATATGTTAATGAGAATTTAAGTAACAAATCTGTGTTTTTCTAGGAAAGAATCCTTTTATTTCTAGTACTATTGTTATATATTTTTATTTGAAAAAAAATTATTTCTATTTTAAGAAAAATTAATTTCTATTTCCTCTTCTTAGGTCAAGAGGATTTGGCTAGGCAGTCTGAGATGAGGCTTCTGAACCGAGCATCTGAGCAGGAGCGCCCTCGGATCTTGCCTCCAGACCAGCGTCCCCCCGAGCCACCAGAGCCTCCGCCTCTCACTGAGGAAGACCTTGATTATCGGACAGAGAATCAGCATTTGCCTATAAGTAACTCTTCAGGAACAGATCCTCACGCGGGAGTGAAAGCAGCTCTTCTGCAGCTGCTGGCTCAGCATCAAGCTCAGGCGACAACAGAGGAGCCAGTACAAACGAGTGTGGATTATCAGACTAGAGACTCCTATGTAACAGGCCCAGGCTACAAGGATAACTTTGGATCATCATCCTTCTCATCTGCCTGTTACAGCTCTAGCGATGGAATAGGAAGCGGATCATCAGGAGTATTAGAAAGGAGTTTCCTTGGAAACTCAGATATTCAGTCTTTGGATAACTACAGTACTGCTTCATCTCACTCTGGTGCTGCCCCTCCTCCATCAGCCTTTCCAGAATCCTTTCCCAGCTCAGTAACGGGTTATGGAGACATTTACCTCAACACTGGTCCCATGCTGTTTAGTGGAGATAAAGACCATAGGTTTGAATACAGCCATGGCCCAATCCCCGTTTTGGGGAGCAGCAGTGATCCTTCCACAGGGCYAGAGAGTACACACTCTTTGACCACAAAGATGCACAACTATAGCTATGGAAGTAATTTACAGGAAAATCCCACTGGCATCAGCCACATGCATGGACAGACTTGGACTTCTCCTGCCCAAGGACCTGGCTATTCCCAAGGATACAGGGGACACATTAGCACATCTGCAGTGAGAGGGCGAGGCAGAGGATTACCATATTGAGTATCTGTTTTTCCTCAGGCACATCATTTTTATCTGGAAAAACTTCCCCCAGCTTAGCTGCAGTTTAAAGCAGCAGTTCAACAGACTTGAATAATGTTAATTCAACAAGCTTTATTTTTATGTGGAAAAGGGTCTTGCATACAGTAGGAAAAATTTAAAAAATGCTTACAACTCATGCTGTTTAAAAACTAAATGACTTGATTGTACATGTTCACAAACTCTAGTTCTGACTTTTATTTTGTATTTTGGCAGTTTTAAGTGGATGCTAAATTTAGGGACATCAGCTTTTTAATGGCACTCTTTCAGATCTTCTGAACTATGCACATTTGTGCTTTTTTTTGTAAGTTTGGACCAACTTTTATGTAAAAAAAAATTTTACAACAATCAAAGCAGGGCGCTGGTTTATTTGGTATTTTCTTTTTACAGAATTACCTTTAATCAAAGGTTACTGTCAGTCTTTGCACTGCTTTCAGTGTTACTGTGAAAGGTGTACTTTTGTGCTCATTTCAGATAATAAAACACAACCTTTCTCTTAATGCAAAATTTTATAAATACTTGGTTAACGTTTTTTTTTTTCCTTTCAAGAAAAAAAGGGGTGTTCTGGTAAAATGTTCTCTCCATCTCCCACGTTTATTTATATAAAAACTGTTTTACTTGAATGGTAAGTGCCTTAACATGTAAGCTTAAGGTCTGCAAAAATTTGGAAGTACTTCATAGATCACTATGAACATGCCTAAACCTAGGTAGTTAACAGGAGAATTCAGATAATAATAAGAAACTCAAACAGGTCATAAACTTGTGCTGTTTACTTCACATGGGTCAGTTACTTAGTGACCTGATCTTATCTAGATAAAATTGTATTTTCCAAATCGAACTTCATGAGAACGTTGAAACTGAGAAGAATGAAGAGTGTAGTTTTTCTTCAGCTCCCTATTGGAGTTGTATTAAGTGTTTTAGTTCCTCTGCCAAATAAACTATACACTATATGTCCTTACCGAGTGATAAAATAGTTTTTTTTTCTTAAATGTCAACAGCAGTAATATCTTTACTTTGTGTGAAAAGCTGACACTGTTGTCTTTTTACCACGAGTACTGCATTGTAGGAAGTAACCAAAGGAAAAATGACCAGTATTTAAAGCAATGGCAAAATGTTTGACACTAGTTGTAATTTGCTGTAAACTTGTGACTGTGCCAATTAATTGTTTTTTRTATCTTCTATTCCATAGAACATTTTAATATTGGAATTGAATATCTGAACAATTAAAATTATTATAGTTAAAATTCTTACCAAGAGCCACTCCTCATACTAATTACAAATTCCAGCATGGTTTTTTTTTTTTTGTTTCCTCTGACAAGAAGTGGTCTCTCTCCTGCAGAGAGGAGGTATGATTATATTTTGCCTGTACGAAAAGAATGTCTTGAAGCCCATATTGGAAACAATTTTCCAACTGATTATCCAGTTGACAAATCGGTACCTTATGTAACTGAGTGTTTAAATATTACTTTTTAAAAAGTAAAATTTCTACTTACACTATTACAAATGTAGTCTTGTCAATGACTTTTTGGATTTTCAGAATAGAAGCCAAAGCTGTTTTAATTGAAAATCCTGGTTCATGTATGGCTAATTCCCACCCTGTAGAGCATGAAGAAACTCCCTTCGTTAACTGTGTAGTGTTTGAGGATCTAGCAGATGAGGAACAGAGAGAGTCCTGCTGTGTATGCTGTTCCCACAAGTCTGGCAGTTGCCTTCTTGAGACACAGTAAAAATCCTGCCATCTGAAAATAAAATTTTCTAAGTCAGAAACAAGTACAACCTGGATAGCCTGTGCTTAAGAAAAGCAAAAGCTTCATGTGAATGACAGTGCATTGGACCATTTTTTCCTTGAGTAAGGACACCCTTGTATCATTTTTCTGCTAGTAAAATTATGAAGACAAAAACCATTTCATGTCATTTAGCTATGGACAGTGTCGGCTAAGGTTCTTTCTTTGTTTATTAATATTTAAAAAACCAGACCCACAAATATACACATAGATTGGTTGGGTNTTTTTTTTTTTTTTTTTTTTTTTTTTTTTTTTTTTTTAAAGAATCAAGCAAAAGACTTTCAAAGCTTATATGCACTTACTTTCACTGAAGATGTGCAGTCTGGGGTTCCTCACCTGTAATTGAAATATAACTGCAGGCCATAGTTGGCTAAAAAACACAGGTAAGTCCAAATGGAAAGTAAGGAAAGTAATGGAAATTTCAGATGACTAAATTAATTGACTTCCAATACTAAAATGTAAGGAAAAAGTTGTGTTTCCTGTTGTTTCCCTTTTGTACACAAATTTTCAAGTCATTTATTTCATTTCATTCAGTGCATGTGTAAATAACTGCAATTTCCTTATGAGCTGGCAGTTCTCTCATACATTGTTCTACCAAAACAGATTTCAGTCTTTGGCCATGAAAGAAACCCCAACAACCCCAGCACAAGTAATCCTGAGTGTGAGGAGAGAGAAGGAGGTGCAATAGACAGTTGACTTCCAGATGAATCAGAAACCAAACTGGCACTCACATCAGTAGCACATGAATACTGTACAATGGCTTTTCCCCAGCATAAGGATTACTAGCCTGTGACTTTGAACACTATGTGCCTAGTATGACCATGCTGGGATAATTTGGAGGGAAAGGTAATGTGTATATGATAACACAAATATGATAACTCTGAAGAGATTGCCTTCTCTGCAACCCAGGGAATCTTGGCTCTTTTGCGGACACCTTTCCTCCTGGGCTGATGGAGGCTGGGTGTGGGTGAAGARCTCTGCCCTTGAGGTTGTGGCAGGAGGATTGGTGACCGCAGCCTCTCCCCTGGCCTGGAATTGTCTGGGCATGTTCACAGCCAGGGAACTGCCCAGATCTAAGGACAGTGGGTCCCCATTCATTTGTACCAGATCTGTGTATTATCTGTGTATTAACTTTTCTTTTGAATTAAATCACATGACAAGGTGCTTATAGCAGAATTTTACCCTTTTGACCAAACTCCATGTAGCAGAGTGAGCCTGTACTAGTTTGGCATTTTACATCACGTGTCTCTTGCATTTTTCATGCAGTTAGTAAACATTYTGAAAACAGCATTTTTAGAATTATTTTTCTGTGGAGCTGTGGCTGTTGTTACTTTCTCCCTCATTCCTTTGCATTTATTTTTTCTGTGCTGCAATTCCAAAGTGAGCTACAGAGACCTGGATACTACATCAAAAAGTAAGTGTTGTGTGTTTGTATTTCTAAATAAACATAGTGAAATACTGTAATTATGGACTATCAGATAGSAAGTACTTAATTATTTATATTAAGTGGTCTTTAGCCATACCAAGAAGAAGAAAGCGAGCACGATTGGACTGCTTCTGACCAGGACTTAAAACTCTTAGACTATTACAATGCTTAAATTCGGCCAAAGGAAAAGAAGACAGCTTTTATGGATCACTAGTTGTTGTTATCCTAAACAGAATGTGCACTGCTGGGGAAGAGGTATAAAAATACATGTATCCTTAAATGTTAATATAATTATTGAAAAAATAATTTTTTTGTTTCCATTAAATGTGGTCTCTTTAATTTTCTCCATCCCGTAGTGCTTTCCAGAAGCAGAGGCAATAAGTGCCGTGCTGTAAGTTCTTATTTTGAGTGTTCTCCTTTTGCTTGGTGCAGGAGGCAGTTTCAGTTTTGATGGATTTTAYGGGTGGATGAGCTTAATAGACAATTGCGGTAAAAACTGAAATACTGAAGTAACACAGGATACCTCTTGTCTGCAGGGAGATCAGATCTTGGACTRTGAATTCTGTTTCCAAGAGAGAAAAATGTCAGATGTATTACTTGCATTCTTCTTTCCATTAATGAAACACGCAAGTGTTTACATACAACATATCTCCAGTCTATTCTGTTACAGTGATTTTTACATGAGGAAGTTTTGGCTACTACCATTCTTGATGGTTTTGGGATGTTGTGTTTGCAGAAGTGTGTCATAAAATTAGGGAATCACCAGAAAATTTATTTGAATTCTGTATTTAAAAATGAAATGACCTTGGGTTGACTTAAATTAACTTTCTTATCAGGGTGAAGAAACTTTATTGCAGGAGCTATTTCAAGACAATTTAAATTGTTATGCTTCAGCTTGCTTACTCTTTGTTATTTTAAGCCATGTGTATATAAAATGTACTGTGCGGTCTGTAAGTAAAATAAATGAAAACTTGAAGCATTTCATTGTTTTCCCTCTCTGGTTGTCAGATAGCATTTCAAAAGAACCTTGAGTTAAACTGAGTATGTTTTCAGTGTGTTGAAATTCTGCAAGTTATTAAAAACTCATTTGCTGCCTCAGTCCTGCAGGGAGCCCTTTGCTGGCAGTAAGAGCCTTTGCTGGCAGAGTGGGCGCTGCAATAGCCAAGGTGCAGCAGAGCATCCCTTGGAGAGCTGATGGGGCCCCAAGAGCAGCTGGAGTGCTGGGATGTGGGTGTGGCACAGGGGCATTGCCAGTCCTGAGGAGCTGCTCCTGGCTCCCAGGATCCAGCACCCAGTGAGCTGCTCAGGATGATGGGCTGTGGACAACACGAGATTTTTTCATGGCAGTTGCAAAGCAGAGGTGCAGTTAAAATTCCTCACAACTGCTTCTTTAAAGAGGAGGGTGTGTGCGTTAGAAGTAATGGTAAATCAAATGCAAAGAGCCAGGTATTTTCAGTGTCTGGTGAGACATTGAATTGAGCCTAGCTTAAGCAACTGCTTTGAATGCCTGAGGCTTTTCTTGCTTTCTTTCCTACTGCATTAATTAATCTAATGAAACTATTTGAATCTCAATAAATTCTGTAACTCCATCCAAAAATACAGCACTTGCTGTTATCTTCATTTCTCTTAAAACTTGAGGTTGGGCAGAGTCCTGCTTCATCACTTTCGATAAAGTCAGTAGATGGGCAGTGAAAATGCAGTTGGAAGTTAACAGGGGCCAGCAGCAGTTACAGAGGTGTTGAGTTTGACATTGGGTTGACAAAAGGTGTAGCTGCAGCCCAAAACATGTCACTTTGGAAACAATTCTTCAGTGACAATTAAAGCCTGACCTTCAATTCTGGTGACAAGCTTGGGCTGTATTTCATAGGGTGTTGACTTGCACGTAGCAGATCTGGCAGTTGTGTGCAACCAGTTCTAGTTGTCTGCTCGGTTTTTCTCATGAAAGCTGCAATTGCAGCTCATAAGAAAACTGTGACAAAGCTGGCTCTGGTTTATGTTGGACCATGAACCTGAAATGGTTTGAGAATGGTGTGGCATCCCTTTCACTGAGCTCTTACTGCTGTAAGGGTACCCAGCTGTGCAATTGTCACGATCCGTTCGAGTTGAAACGGGAGTCGTGATAGGTTCCTTTTTGGAATCTCAGGGTGCAAAAGAAAACGAGAAGGCAAATGTATATGCTTAGACAATTTATTTGAGTATTTTGCTATAGGAGACGGTGAGAGAGGGGGATAGGGAGAGCGAGGGAGACGGGGTCTTAGAAGAAGGAGAGAGAGAGAGAGAGAGAGAGAGAGGGGCCAGGGAGAGCGAGGGAGACGGGGTAAAGGGTGAGAGAGGGAGATAGGGAGAGCGAGGGAGAAGGGGTCTTAGAAGAAGGAGAGAGAGAGAGAGAGGGAGAGAGAGGCCAGGGAGAGCAGGTATAGCTACCAGCTGACGGGGTCTTCCAAGGTCCCACGATGGTTGTCAGTCAGCTGGCAGGGAGATGTCTCTCTGGGTGGTCTCTTCCGAGGAGACTTTTTATAGTCTGTCTCAAAGCGAGTGGCTGCAGGCCAGGAGGGGGGGGGGCGTTGCAAGTCCAGACTTGCTGGCCAGGTGGTGGAGAAAGAATGTCTATTGTACAGCATGAGCAGCGGCCTGTACCGTTCTCCTCAGGAACAGTGCGATCATCCGTAGCTCACATCCATTGTTCTCAGCAGCCTAGGAGCTGGGAACCTGGCAGTCCTTCCACTTTAACCTGGCTCAGACTCCTTTGAGCGAAAAGCCCCCTTTTCTCCCGCCTKGGGGTTTAGTCAATCGTGAGACAGTCCAGGGTCTTCCATAAGGACTCTTACAGCAATAAGGAACCAGTAGTAATTCCAGTGGGATTTGCATAGCAGTCAATATCCTGTGCTGTAAGTAAAATAGCATCAAGTGAAAGAGGAGCTATACAAGCAACTGCAAAACAGCCTAGGTCAACACAGAGCAAGGAACGTGTTTGTGAGACTGGGGACAAGAGAAGAAACCAGTCCTCAGGTCACAGCCATGAATTACTGCCTGTTAGCTTTGAAAGAACAATGCAGTTTTGCAGAAATTTCTTTTCAATTACCTGAACCAGGATTAGGATCCTTCTGGTTTTAAGGAATGGTTATAAAACCTGACAGGCCATCTGGATGAACAGGATTAGAGCTACCAAACTCCCCACCATGTGGAAGAAAACATAAGTTGGAACACTTTGCAGGAACAGGAAACACAGGCAGAGAGAACTTCGTTTGACAAGAGAACACTCGTTTGACACTTTGCAGGAACAGGAAACACAGGCAGAGAGAACTTCGTTTGAAAAATAAATAACTTTATTTTCCCAGTCAACTGTTTGCTTTGATAGAGCTTAAGGGTTTTGTTTTTAAAGTCATCTACTTGCTATGGATGCTTCTTTTGGGCTTTTTTGTTGCCTATGGAGGGAAGGCACAGAACTTTGAGTCTGAGCCTTAAGGAAATGTTTTCTTTCTCTTCAGTTAGAGCAGTCATTTCCAGTAGGAAATACTTGACAATACATAGCACAGCTCCAGTTCTGCTTCAGCAGTTCCTCTGGGGACACTTTGGGCATTGATATGGCAAGTTCTCATAACATGATGAATGTACCTCTAATAGGACTTTTTGCAAAGAAGCTTTGTGAAGTTCTTTTTTCCAATATTAGGAAATACAGTGCAGAAGAGACACAGCTGGTTAGAAAAGGGAATACTTGAAGTAAGCATTACAGAAACCAGCCTGGGAGCTTCCGGTACTCACAAGCAGATCTAATAGCTGTGTGCTGCCCTTAAGGAAACCTGAGGGAATTATTGGTTTTTGTGGAGTGTTTGAGTTGTGCAGATGTCTCTCTGCTATACTCCCTCCTGTGTGCTAGAGTGTGGTGTTAGTTGCTAGAGGACATAGCTGGAATAAGTCTTTAATGTGCAGCAATGTCTAACACACATGCCTTTTTTTTCCTCCTGCCAAGTTCTTCTCAGACCTGTTTTACAAATGTGTGAAGCACGTCAGCAGGTTCTGTCATGGGGGAGCAGCACACTCTCCACTGCCTTTCGAGGACTTTGGTTTTGCCCTGGTGGCAGGGAAGCACTGATGTCTGCTTGCCCTGCCTTTAGAAGCCTCTCTAAACATCAAATATCCCAAAAACTGCCATTGCTGCTTTCTCTCATTGCTTTGTCTCTGGGTCACCCTGAGCAAGGAATGGGCTGTACAGAGAACTGAACAGAGACCTGGCTTTAGCAGGTGATTTTCCCTGAACAAGGAGAAAGAGAGAGATTATTACTCAGGTATCTAGCAAAGGTACTTATGTATCTATTTTTATTCTCTTTCATCCTTACCAACTGTAAAAAAAGGATCTACAGGAATGGTTTCAAAGCAAGACCAGGTTTGGTGGTGGGTTAGGTGTTTTTTTGTTGTTGTTGTTTTTTTTGTTTTGTTTTGTTTTGTTTTGTTTTGTTTTGTTTTGTTGTTTTAGTTTGGTTTCAGTGGGCTTTTTTTTTTTGTTTGGTTTGGGTTTTTTCATTTTGTTTTTCTTTACTGGTATTACCCTTCAGAGAATTTTTAGATGTTAGAAACCACCTGCAAATCAATGTAGGGTTGAGAGACTGGGACTTCAGCTTCGCAGCTAACCCAGTGGCAAAAAATGCATGGCAGTTACAGAGAAGGAGCAGTCCATTCCCTGCCTTCATGCAGTAGAGTTAAAATTAAAACATATCACCACACTGGAAAATAAAAGAAGATGTGCACAGTGGACAAAACCAGCAGCCAAAGTTATTCATACGCAGTCCTGCCCCACAAATACTCTTGAACACTCGTGTCATCCCTGGGCTGCAATCCTTGCCCTCAAGACAGGGAAGGCAGTGGACCCTCTGACTGCACAGCCACTTCCTGGCTTTCTTTGCAGAACAAAATTTAATTGTGACCATTTTTAAATCCTTTTTTTCCCAAAAATTGTTCGTGAGGGTGAGGGGGCAACTGACTAAGAACTACAGATGATGTGGGAAATGAACAGGGATCTATTAATGCTGTATATGAGAAGTGGAGTAATACAAACTAGTGAAAAACTTATCTGCAGACGGTTTGGCAATTTGACATCAGGAAAGTATTACTCTAGAGCTGGCAGATTTTAAAAGGTACATTGTCATGGTTTTGCTTGGTCCAATTTTTGGTGGTGGGGGATGGGGATCAAGAAACCACAAAGATGGCTGCTGTGAGAAGTCCTGGGGGTGTCTCC